TGGCTCAGGACATTAAAACTTCATTGCTTTGAACTGCTCAGAAGAAAACAGAGTCACTGGTTCACCCTGTCAGCTTGACTACTGCAGTCCAGCCTAAGCTGACTTCTTCTTACTCTCCCCAGTGCTGACTGGTTTGGATCACCATTGTTCACCTGGAGAATGTCCACCTGCTGCTGCTTTCTAATGGATCCTTCTGTTCATGCTCGAGCCTTTACCTTCTTCTCCCAAGTCCTCTGATTTTCATCAGAGCAGACAGGAGGATTCAGATTGTGGTACTCTTCTGCTTCCAGTTCATTTCTGCCTCCTAATCATTAGCAGTTTTCTACTTCTTTCTGAGTAAAAGTCAATGATGTTACAATGACCTTCCAGATCTCAGCCCCTTCGAATACATTTATGATCTTACCTCTCCCGGCTCATTCCAGCCACAGTCACCTTTCTAGTGCTTTCCCGATCAAGCATGCGCTCCTCTGGTTCTCCTCCTTAGAGCCCCTTTCCTGCTATGGGCTTTCCCTAGACCCACTGCAGGCATGTTCCTGCTAGGACTTTCATGAACACTCTCAGTGCTCATTTCTAAGCTTAGTTTTTCATCACAGTATGTCGGAAAAACTGACATATTTTGCATTTTACCTATTAAGTTTGTATTTTGCCTCACAAAAATGCAAGTTCATCAGAACTGACATACTCATATCTTCTGACACACTTTACATTTTACCTATCTATTAGTTTGTACTTTGCAAGTTCCTCCAGGGCAGGACCAAGAGAGGACACACTTCTGAAAAATATCTGTTCATTGACTAAAGGAATAATGATGTAAAGAAATGTTTTGTTCTCCATTGTACAATTGGTTCCCTGCCACTTCCGAACCTCAGCTTTCATTTCCTTATCTTTGTGAGGTTTAAATGAAGACATTTGTTTAATGAAATGCAGAATGAGGGGCGGGGTGAGGCAAGGAGCCATAAATCTTAATGAGGAAAGCAAGAGGCAAAGCAGTATGGGAAATACAGAACAAAAGGAAGAATTGCCAGGCTTAGCAGCTATGCCTTTAAAGCCAGCACTTGGATACCAGTGAGTTCCAGGGCAGCCTGGTTTACATAGCAAGTTCCAGGCCAGCCAGTGAGAGCCTATCTCAAAAGGCAACAACAACAACAACCACCCCAAACAAACCAAACATTTAAAAAACAAGCAAAACCAAAAACCAAAAAACCCCTGACAAATCCAAACCTAATCCAAACCCAAACCCACGCTCTCCCCACGACAGAAGGAAGACTTGAGAAAGAAAAGAGGACCTGGGGAAAAACTCTGGGCTATTCCTTTTGAATTAGGGCTTCACCTCATCTACAACGCCTGCTAGATAATCCTATCAGACCTTGTTACACGTCTGCTGTACACTCCATCTTCCTACCACATGGACTCCAGGGCAGCTTTGCTGACTTACTTCTGTAAAGGAACAGGGCAGCTCAAGTTTAGATGAGCTTCTGACAGACGGAACCACACCCCCACATCCCCACCCCCCACCCCCACACTCCCACACACACTTAGCCAAAAACTTTCCAGTTAATCTGCTATGATTTTCTTGGGCAGAAGTCCTTTGATTCCAAAAATTAACAGTAGGATAAAGAGTCAAAATTAGAGCAAAATGTAAGTGATCTTCATCATGGAGGGCAGAGCTGTCAGTAATCCTGGCAATGTCCAGGCTGTCTTGATTCTCTGCTCACCTAATCTACCCTAGGAGAGATTAGAGTGCAGTGTGTATAAAGAGATAGACAGCCATCCCCAGGCAGGAGAATCAACTGAAGTAGAATCATTCCACACCCCTTCATTCTCCAGTACAGAAAGATGCTATATGTTTGGCTGGCCAGGAAGGCAGTGGCAGAAAAAACTACAAGTGCTGTACAACTTCTTGTTAAGTCAGTTTTCTGACACACGGCGACTGGTGATTAATTACTTGTTAGAAGATAACGTTTCTATAGAGATTCACTGGAAATACAGATGCCCTTGTCCATGCTTGATTAGACACGCTTGAGGAATGCCAAGGCATACTACTGCAGTCTGTTAATTCTGCTTGTTTAGGTATTTATTCTACACAGCTTCAAATTTGGTAGAATTGATAGAGCCCATTTCAGAAAACTATCCTCTACCTCAAAAAGAAGAGGAAAAATAAACCTATAAAATATGTCCCTATGAGAACAAGAGCAAATCAGACAGAAAGAGACCATGGACTGGGAGGGCTATGTTACCTACTTTTGGTATTATCTTCTGGTTTGTAAAAGTGAGAGACACTCTTGTTCCTTATGAGTAGATAGAAAGTTGCCTATAAATGCTGCTTAAAACTTTCAGGGCAGAGAGCCTAACTGGTCATCTTACAAACTCTTCATTAGCCTTGATTTGGCATATACCCACTTTGTCACCACATCCAGTGATCATTTACTCTGTTCCAAGCACTGAGGAAACAGTGTGAAACTCCCCGTTTAGTAAGAGGAGATGGTCTCTGAACCATCTGGAGCACAGAATCCCATGCTATATGTTTACACCAGCCTGCATAATCCATTAGAGAAGAGGGATAACATTAGATACACCCCTCCCTGGTGGTCATGTTCACCTTTTACCTACTCCTTGGACATAATTCAGAAATCCAACTGTGAAAGGCATGACTGAGTTGCCGTTCAATTATATCCTGCAGAAACCCTTCACTGGAACATAGCCCACTGATGCCAATCTCAGTGCTACCCTGTCAGGGCTTCATGATGCAGACGCTGGGTTTTCAGTATGTGTTTGGGCCCCATATTGTCTGCCAAGAACTGTGTTAATTTACTTATTTCAGCTAAATAAAAAAAATCATTTAAAAAAGGATGATTGAATTTAGGAATTATATTCCTCAGAGAATTAGTAATGGCTCTTTGTATCCCTCAGGCCTCCATGTTCTTAACTTCCCCTTGTCAATGTTATTATGGATAGACTAATTCAATAATGAGATCATTTCCCCTAAGAGCGGCCAAATAAATGCAGCATTCAGTCACACCTGGTTTCCCTAATCTGAACAAGGGAGGCTTTCCACCAAATTTATCCTAAAACATGGAATTAAATGAACACACACACACACACACACACACACACACACACACACACACACACACACACACTTACTTTCCTGCAAATAGTAGGAAAAATACAGGAAAAGAGAGAAGCGAGAGAACCTAATGGGTAGCAATACAACAAACAGACAGAGAAGAAAAGTTAAAAAGGACTATATGTGGGCCACTTTCAAAGCAAAGAGCCCCCAGTACAAATGTCTTTATCGCCGTCAAAGTCACATGGCACTGTATAATTCTCTTAAATACTCAAAAACTGCTTCATTTTTTCCTGAACTTCTAGAGGAATCTAAAAGTCAAATGGAAAGAAACAGAAGTAATAAATAAGCAGAAACATTCTAGACTACTAAAAAACCAATATTTTCCTAGCTAAAAAGGCTTTGAAAATGAAGTTCATGGACTACTTCACCTAACTGTAAGTAACAGAGCATTCGGGGAGGGGGGAAGAAGTTGCTAACGAACTGTCATCCACATTCTACAAAACAGCTTGAACTGTCAATAAAACACCAAAGGTTTGATTATTTAATAAACAATGTGGAGACCAGATAAGTAAAATAAGATTAATCCTAGTATTTGAAAAAGTGTCATAAAAGAGAACATTAAGAATCGAGACAAGCAAACCTTGAGAAGAAAAAGGGCAATGACTCTTCTCCCAGTTGGAAGAAAATTGGACAGTTTCCAACCGGGGCAAAGTAGAAGCAGTGTCAGAACAGGCACATGTAAAGCTAACTTCAGTATTTACCAGGCGAGAAACAAAATACAAAAACTCTGACATCCAAAGTGATTAGAAAACAAATTTCAGTTAATTGTACCATGGATTTGTTTACTTATTGAAAGTAATATTTTCTAGAAGCATTAGTATTTGAAACATCATGTTTTCAAAGATTATTATTGATATGGGAAAATGCAATGAATATATTTTAAGTTACATTAACATAGTTACAGTTTTGTAAAAAGAGATATCATATGCATGTGTATGTATGAAAATTCACATACTTTTGTACTGTGTACATGTACTCAAAGCAGTTGTACTCAAAGCCAGGAGAAGGCAGACCAGATATCACTGTCTCTAGGCCAAAGGTTTATCATCTTATATATCTTGTAAAATGTGCATATATTTCTCTTTTACTCAGAAAAAAAGTCACCAATGTTTAATAGCATGAAAACCTTAAGTTTGAGGCCAGTGAGACACCTCAGCAGGTAAAGATACTTGTCACAAAGACTGATGACCCAATTTCAATCCTAGAACCTCCATAGTGGAAGGAGGGAACCACAAGTTGTCCTCTGGTCTATCTCCACACACACTCTATGGCATACACTCCCCCACCCCACTCCTCCCTACCCCTGACATAAAATCAATAAAGGTAAAAAATATTTAAAAACAGAATTTAAGTTAGGCAGTGATAAAACTAACATCTGGAGGATGTTAAACTTTGAATAGAGTTTTGTAGAATTACTGTCTCTGTCACGTGAAAATACTGCCTTCTTTTCTTCTTTTCATATGTGTGTGTTTATGATAGGAGTGCATGAGTATGCTTGTCTGAATGGATGTGTGTGTGCTTACATGTGGAGACCTGAGGTTGATGGCAGACAGCATCCTCTGCCATTCTTCTACCTTGTTTGTGGAGGCAGGGTCTCCCAATCAATCCCAGGTCTTGGTCTGGGGAATCTTAGTCTCTTCCTTCCAAGGCTGGAGTTACAGGAGGACTCCCATACCCACTCATACAACATCTACATGGATTCTGAGGATCTGAACTTTGGCTCTCTTGCTTGCACAAGTACTTTAACTGCTGAACTATTTCTCCAGCCACATTTCTTTCTTTTAATAAAATAAGTCTCTTTTTAGCAAACAGAAGCTCATTACAGGCAATGAGTTTGGTGTAAGAAACCTAGCCCAATATTCCCTCATACCTTGCAAAGTCCAAGTCTGCCTCCCGTGACATAGTGATGTTGGTCAAATTCTGCTGAAGAACAAAAATGTTCCTACACATTTTCTTGATGCCAGACTCACTGATGCGCCGGAAGTACTGGGCTCCATTAATGAGGATGCAGGAGATGAGGTGTCCCAGACCTGAGGGGTCAGCACAGTGCAGTGAGGAGACAAAAAAGATATATTAGTGGCATCTGGCTTAAACTTATTCATAGGATTGCTCTTTTTCATCCTCCACAGGTTTAAATGACTGAAGAAAACATGTATCCCAGTTGCCACAGCAAATCTTACAACGATTTCATAATACTTCTACAATGTTTTAGTAGTTGCAAATGGAAAACTTAATATAGTCAGCTAAATTTGGTATAGCCACAGCCCAGCACTGTAATACTCACCTAAAGCCACCATCCATAAGGGCTTCAAGAAAAAGCCAGGGTGCTATAAGCTATGGACATAAAAAGGAACTGTACTGTATGTGCAGATATTTGGAGAAATCTGTTTGGTCTCTCCTACTCATGAAACAGAGGAGGGCACACATTTGACCCTGAACATAATTGGGAGCCTATGTATATAAAAATAAGTCAGTCCGAAGGTGAGCATTATGATCGATAATTCTAATATTTTGCCTTCCATCACATCAGTAACTCGCCAAAATGACGGACGCAAAGGGAAAGAGGAGGGGCACCCGCTGTATGTTCTCCAGGCCGTTCAGGTAACACGGAGCTGCTCCTTTGGCCACTTACATACAAATCTACAAGAAAGATGATATTGTAGACATCAAGGGAATGGACACTGTTTAAAAAAGAAGGCCCCGTAAGTGTTACCATGGCAAAACCAGAGGAGTTTTCTAAAGTGTTACCCAGCATGCCATGGGCATCATTGTGAACAAGCAAGTTAAGGGCAAGACTCTTGCCAAGAGACTTAGCATGCAGACTGAGCACATCAAGCACTCTAAAAGCTGAGACAGCTTCCTGAAGCAGGTAAAAGAGAACGACCAGAAGAACAGGGAAGCCAAAGGGAAGGACACCTGGGTTCAGCTGAAGCACACTTTGTGAGAACAGAAAGGAGCCTGAGCTGCTGGAGCCCATTCTATATGAACTTATGGCCGAATGTACAAAAAAAAAAAAAAAAAAAGACCTGGACTGTAAACAAACAAACAAACAAACAACAATGCTAATCTTTAAAAAGAATCAATCAATAAATATGGGCTCCTGGCAACAATGCTAATAGATTTCAGCATTGGCAACAGGGTGAATGCATAACACAGTAATGGATAGAAACAGAGCATTTAGGAAAAATAGACTGTGAGTTCACTGTTGAATTCCCAGCAGACATCTACAGATAGTTCTGGGGTCCTATAAATGGTTTGTTTTTACATGTGAAAGATTGTCCTATTATCTTGCTTTGTTTTGTTTGTTTGGAATATACATATAATACATACATACATACATACATAAATATACACACACACACGGGATCTGATGCCCTCTTCTGGTATATATATATATATATATATATAGATAGATAGATAGATAGATAGATAGATAGAGAGAGAGAGAGAGAGAGAGAGAGAGAGAGTCACATTTTATGGGTTGGCCTCAAACTCTGACACTCCTGCCTCCACCTCTCAAATGCTGGGATTACATGCATGTGTTAGCATGCTGGGTAGGTTTATATACGCTAGGGATTGTTCCAAGGCTTTTTGTGTACACTAGGCCAAATACTCTACCAGCTGAGCCAAATTTCCAGCCCCTTGTGGACTGTTTCATAGTCTATGTAATTTGGCAGAGAATATCTGAGGACATCAATAAACTAGAAGGACTCCTTTCATCTTTTTGGTTGTGAATCTAGCCTTTAATGTTTGAACCATCTTTCTAGCCCCAGGACTCCTTTTGGATAACCATATTTAGGCTGAGGAGTGATGGATGGTTCAATACAACATAAAGTAGTTATAGGTAACCACCTTTAGAAGATAGATTCAACTTTAAATGTTTCTTCATTCAGATTGTCCCAATTTTGCAGAGTTGGCCTCTAGCAGGGTACTGTCCTCAGAACTCAAGAACCACCCCAGGTAGTACACTGTTATTGTCATCTTCCTCTCCTGGAGCCGGAGTCCCTTCATGGCAACTAGACTCCGATTAGTGACCAGTGCACATCTCAGGTTCAATGGCTGCCTCTAGCTTCACAATGGGTCGCTCCTTGGCTGAGATCAAAGCAGAAGAGGCCAAGGCCAAGACAATCTCTCTTGCTTTAGCTATTCTCAACCAGTAATTCTTCAAGACTACAGACCTGTTTGTGCTATTTACAGTGAAGAAAGAGATTTGGGCTCAAAGGAAAAGAAACACAACATAGACTTGTCATTTAAGCTAGAAAAATCTTTCCAAGTTATGGTCTGGTCTGCCATGGTACAATATGGTGTGATGAAAGTGTAAAGTGTAGATGATGATGGGATATATCTGATTATTAAGGCATAAAATATTAATAACTTAAAATATCATTAAATAAATGCAAGCACATGAATAAGACCTATGGAGGTCCAGGGCGTGGAAGAATCACACTAGGAGGAAAGAGAAAGCTCTGTGTGGTCAGAGAACAGGGACGGACCCCGACGGACACAGTCAGAGAACAGGGACGGACCCCGACGGACACAGTCAGAGAACAGGGACGGACCCCGACGGACACGGTCAGAGAACAGGGACGGACCCCAACGGACACGGTCAGAGAACAGGGACGGACCCCGACGGACACGGTCAGAGAACAGGGACGGACCCCGACGGACACAGTCAGAGAACAGGGACGGACCCCGACGGACACAGTCAGAGAACAGGGACGGACCCCGACGGACACAGTCAGAGAACAGGGACGGACCCCGACGGACACAGTCAGAGAACAGGGACGGACCCCGACGGACACAGTCAGAGAACAGGGACGGACCCCGACGGACACAGTCAGAGAACAGGGACGGACCCCGACGGACACAGTCAGAGAACAGGGACGGACCCTGATGGACACAGTCAGAGAACAGGGACGGACCCCGACGGACACAGTCAGAGAACAGGGACGGACCCCGACGGACACAGTCAGAGAACAGGGACGGACCCCGACGGACACAGTCAGAGAACAGGGACGGACCCCGACGGACACAGTCAGAGAACAGGGACAGACCCCGATGGACACAGTGTAGTCAGAGAACAGGGACAGGCGTTGACAGACACAGAGCCTTGAAGCTGCATATGATGCTACAGGTACTCTCTAGTCCAGCGTCACAAGGCTAGCCAATGGCTCATGTCATAACTACTCCCATTTGGGGGTACAATCTCCTTCAGAAAACATTTCTGTCTCCATGGCTCAACTTTAAACATTTCATGGTAAAACAGGATTCACCTATTCTGGGGCAAGGGTTGCAAAGGTGCTGTGGGACAATGTTCTCATAAAGCCAGCAATGGCCATGCACTGACATCTTGTAGTCTGCAGCTTGTCACAGTCTTTAGACAATGTACCTTTTTCTTTTTTTTTTTTTTTTTTTTTGGTTTTTTGAGATAGGGTTTCTCTGTGTAGCTTTGGAGCCTTTTCCTGGATCTCACTTGGTAGCCCAGGCTGGCCTCTAACTCACAGAGATCTGCCTGGCTCTGCCTCCCGAGTGCTGGGATTAAAGGCGTGCGCCACCACCGCCCGGCTAAAATTACATGTTTCTTTTTTTCTTTTTTTTTTTTTGGTTTTTCGAGACAGGGTTCTCTGTGTAGCTTTGTGCCTTTTCCTGGAACTCACTTTGGAGACCAGGCTGGCCTCAAACTCACAGAGATCTGCCTGCCTCTGCTTCCCGAGTGCTGGGATTAAAGGTGTGCGCCACCATCGCCCGGCCTTTTTCTTTTTTTTTTTTTTTAATGATTTATCTATTTATGTACTTTATGTAAATGGGTGTTTTGTCTGCATGTACATTGCACACCAGAAGAGGGCATCAGATCTCATGGGACTACAGTTACAAATGGTTGTGAGCCAACATGTGAGTGCTGGGAATTGAACTTAGAACCTTTGGAAGAGCATCCAGTGTTCTTAAACGCTGAGCCATCCCTTCAGCTCCAACAATGCACCTTAACTGTCCTATTCTGTGTCAAGACACTGACAACTTCTACTATGCAGGCCCATGCTTTGAAAGACAAAACAAGTACAGACCATGCAGGGACATGTGGGAGGACTATGTACCAGAGGCTCTGTGGTAAGGGCCTGGTTCTTGTGGGCGTTCTTGGGAGGAGGTGGGACCTTTGGGAATGAGGCCTAGTTGTGGGGGGGGCATACCATGAGATTTTGGTCTCTTTATTCACTACCCTGGCCACAAGATCAGCAGCTCTGCTGTCAGTTCCTTGTTCCTGCCTTCTGGCCTTACCTACCCTAACTCACCTAAAAGCAATGGAGTCTCTTGACCATGAATAGGAAAACAAGCCTCTTCTTTTTATAGCTTAATTATCTGGGGTACTGTATTACAGAGAAAAGGTTCTATGGTAGAATACAGCATCAAGAATTATTTGGCTTGCATCATATTTTTTAAGTTTGAAGGCAAATATCCCCAGATAATACTGCCTCCCACCGCCCTCCTGATGGAGGCAGCTGCCCTAAGTTACTGCAGAGCAAGGAGCCTGTTCCCTTCAGGGCATAATGCATTCTGTGAGAGAAACTTCCCCATCCAGGTACTAGGTGACCAGAGAAAGATTCTCCAGGGTTCCTGCCTCACTGTCCGCATGTGTGTGAACTTCTTCTTTTTCTCTCCTACCTTTCTCTCTTTAAATGAGCTCCTCTCAAGTTAAGTGGTGGTCCATTTACACATCTGCCCAAATCTCAGTGACATACATGTCACTGCAGGCAGAGGAGAGACATTTGCATTATCTTAGATAAAATCTCCTATCAGCAGGAGCAGGGGGCCCCCGAGATCTATTTGCTCATACATGAAGCTAGGTGCAGCAGTTCTAATCTAAACACACTAGGAAACAACTTTTCCTTATACATTTTGAACTTCTCTAATACAGAAATTCACGAACACCTTCTTCCCTCCCCTGCGCCTAGATACAAGAGGTAGGCTCTGACCTTCAAAGATGTACTGGAACTTGTGCTGCTGAAGGCTGGCGCTCATGGCCTCTTCCATGGCACTGATGTCTTTGTTGAGCTTGACCACCAGAGGGTCATAATCCATACTTTCCACATTGGCAACGATGGCATAGTTCCCCTCCTTTGCCAGAGGAATGAGATAGTGGAAACAATGAACTCTGAAAGAGAGAGGGATGGAGAGAGCAAATTAAAATAAACATTTCCCCATGAAGACAAGGATCTGCTTGGGAAAGAGCACCAAAATATTTGAAGCAGCTGTGGCCTTGTGCATTTCACCTAGACCTCCCAGCAGTCGTCTTCTTCTTTAAAAAACCAAAAGCCATCTTAGTTATACAGCTGAGTGATCTGAAGCAAGCAGGCATCTATGTGATTTGCTCATTTAATACATACACTCTTCAATGCCAAGACTGGGTGCACAGTATAGGAGCCAGGGGCGTCTTTCAAAAGATGTTGTTATAATGACAATGAGAGCTGAATTCCATCCTCAATGTGATGCTATTGTGGGAGACATCTGATTTCTGTTTCCCAGTTTTGACACTTATTAGCTTTAGGGAAGATACTGGAATCTTTCTATGCCTCAGTTTCCCTTGAAATAGGCACAATAATAACTTCTGCCTCAAAGGGCCATACAAAGCATGTAACACAGAGCCTGATGTAAAGGAAGCACACAGTAAGAATGGACACTGTCACTAGTATTAATCACTGCTAATTTTTATGTGACTAAGTCACTATTGAACATGTTTAAAACTGCTGGAAACTATGCTAGAACCAGGAACTGTAAGACCGTTTGCAGAACTGAAGACTCCACAGCTTATTGGGGCAGAATAATAATAATAATAAGAATGTCTAAAAGAATGGGCTAGAAAGATGGCTCGGTGGTTAAGAACACTTGTGGTTCCTACAGAGGACCTGGGCTCAGTTCCCAGCACCAACATGTTGGCTCACAACCATCCACAACTACAGTTCTTCATTCTCAACTTGACTAGGAGATACACCTCTGGGGAGAACTTTGAGGGTATTTCCAGAGAAGTTCAACTGAGAAGGGAAGAATACAGGCAGTACCATTCCATGTACTTGTATTCCAGGCTGAATATAAAAGGGAAAAGAAGGAAGCCACTGGGTACACTATCCATCCCTCACCATGCTTCCTGGTGGTAGATGCAGTGTTACCGGACACCTCAAGCTCTTGCTACCCTGCCTTCCTGTTCGTGACAGACTCTATCCCTTCAAACTGTAAGTGGAAATAACCCATTTTTCCTTAAGTTGTTTCCAGTTTTATGTGAAGATAAATGTTCATTTCTTTTGAGCAATTACTTAGAAGTAGGCTTTGCTGAGTCAGAGGCTAAGAGTACCTCTAGCTTTGGAAGAAACAAAGTACCGTGTTACTGAGTGGAGCTATTTTGCTCTCCTACTAGCAACATATTCCAGTCATTCTGTATCCTCACCAGCACTCAGTGTGCCGGTTAAAAAGACTCTTTTGTCATGTAGATGTAGTATAGTATCTCACAGTGGTTTTACTTTCCATTTTTCTAAAGAGTAACAGTGTTGGACTTCATGTAGTTGTTTCCACCCATCTATGGTGATACAGTACTGCCACAGTGGGCCGAGTCCTTCTGTCAACCAGCGATCAAGACAATGCAGCAGCGACACTAGGTTGTGCCAAGTTGACAACAGAAAACAACCAAGCAAAAGACACTGGAGTCTTCTTCCATTGCTCTCCATTTACTATCTAGAGACAGGTTCTCCCAGTGAACTGGAAGCTGTTTCAGCTCCGGTGACCAGCCAGCAAGATCCAAAGATCAACCTATCTTCACCCTCTGTCACCAATGCTGGGGTTACAGGTACTCACAGCCACATCTAACTTTTTATCTTACATGGGTTCTGGGGATTCAAACTCAAGTTCTCACGTTTATACAACAGGTGCTCAGATCAGTTAGCCATCTGCCTAGTCTCAAGCAATAAACTTAGAAATTTTCATATAAGGAAATACAAATACAAAATGACTATAGTTCATTCTTACTGATACGTGCTTATCCTCACAGCTGCTAATTACTAAGAAGTGTCACCAATAAAAAGCCCAATCTGACATTCCTGAGTTAGTTGGCAAACAGAACAGTTTTGATCAAGATTCAACTAAAGGCTCTGGTCATAGGCCCTCTCCAATGTGATCTTCCCAGTGTAATGAAAGATGACTCACTCAGGAGTGGGAATCTTGACTAGGGCAGTTAATCACTATCTTGCAGAAATTAAAATGAAGTAGCATTAATTGAAATACAAGCATCTATACTAAAGTATCTTTAAACTAGGCGTAAAGCTATGGTGGGATAGTCACACACAATAGGAAGACCATGCTGAAAGGCATGAAGTTGTATATGGGCAATGTCTCCGACCAATAGTGAGAGGCTCCTTTTTGTTCCATACAGATCACAGGAGAGAGACATGACATGAACTTAGGGACATGGGCAGTAAAATGTCATACTAGGCTTTAGAGGCCATCTAAAGAATGTGGACTTTATGCCAGAAGGTTTAGGGAACCTTAAGAGAACTTCATAGATTAATTGAAAATTAAAATACTAAGTATGTGTGTGTGTGTCCATGTGTGGATATATACACATGAATGCAGGTGCCCAAAGAAGCCAGATGTCTTACCTGATACGGATGCTGGGAATTGAACCTGGGTCCTTTGTACCCACTATTAATCGACAAGTAATTTCTCTAGCCCCAAGAGACCTTTATGCAGCAAAATGATAAACTCAAATACTAGCTTTGGCACCAAGAAAGTAGACTGATGGTAGAACATGGAGACAAATTAAAGAAGAGATAGGCTACTGAAGATTCTGGCACACTGGAGGTGAAGTTCCTGTGACTTTACAGCTGGAGGCAGAGGGGAGACAATCACTGTTAGAGGTATTATTTTATTTTTCCCAAATGATCAGAAAAAATTGTCACTGCTGAATATCAAATTCAGTAAAGTTTTATTTTTCTCTGGGTTCTGGTGTGCTGTTGCTGACCTTCCTCTGACTTTGGCATTAAGGTTTTCTGCAAACACTGCTGATTGCACAGCAGGATGGTTGATTTTCAGAAAGCGCACACTTAGGATCCCAACGGTGACAGGCAGTTGCTGTTGAACCCACTTAGAGCCCTCCTGATGGTAAGGGAAATCAGCTGATAAAGGTGACATTCCTGGCATTGTGGACTCAAATGGCAACTTAATTTTCTTTTTCTAAAGTTCAAATGAAAAAACCCTCAACAACTTTCAATGGTCTCACCATGTCTTTCATTTCTTAGGGGGAGGGGGGTGGGTGTCATCTGTCTTCTGCCTCAAACTGTGGAAAGATAGTACATGTTGGTTAAATGTGGCCTACAATGACATGGGTAAATGTCAAATGCTCTTTGGATGGGTTCTTCAACACAGAACCTGCTGGATTGGAGAACTTTTTTTTTTTTGCTTTGAACTTCAACAGTGTTGAAGAAAAATATGGGCTTTGGATATAAAGATATTTTGGGAGTAAGACAGAGTTTGGCATTTGAAGTTGTTCTGGACTTTTGCTGGCACAACCCATTAATATATTTCACATGGCTTTCATTTTTCTTTGGTTCCTACTGCAGTGTTTTCATGGCTATAAGTGCAAGAGAGAGTATCACTTTTCATCATGCCAGCTCCTGGACAGGGCCTCAATTATAACTCTCTTTCACAATAGGATAGGGGTAAAGTAAGCATTAGTGAATTATCAGAATGAGGATGAGGTTGGTCACACACCCTTTGTGGTGGTTTGAATAAGAATGGCCCCCATAGGCTCATGTATTCGAATACTTGGTCCCCAGTTGGTGGTGCTCTTTAGGGAGGTTATGGAACCTTTAGGGGGTGGGGTCTTTCTGGATAAAGTCTGTGAGTGGGGGTGGGCCTTTAGGGTTTGTATGTTTTCTGTTTCCTATGTGTAGATGACATGTGACCTCTCTGTCCCCTGTTCCTGCTGTCATCCCTTTCCAGCCTTGATAGACTGGAACTGTAAGCTACAATGAACTTGTTCTTCCTTAAGCTGCTTTTGGTCATGGTATTTTATCGTGCCAACAGAGAAGTGATTAACACACCCTCTGTACTTGCAGATGCATGTGGTTGACTTGCAAGTGGACTATCATGTGAAAATGCAATTTATAAACCAATTCATTTGCTTTTAAGAACACAAGTTTTGTTTAGGAAAATAGAGCTTTTTTAAAAAAAAATTTTTTATTTTTAAATCTGGGTTTCGTTTAAAGTCAGCTCATTCTTAAGAAGAAATCACACAGGCATTATGGCTGGCTCATTTCTGGGACTGTTTATAACAATGAACAAGACAGACCAGAAGAGTGAGTGGTCTCTTCCACAACCTTGCACTATAGGTTCCAAGAGTGTCTGGCAGTTGCTTCTGGTACAATACCCTACCAATGTGATGATTAGCATGACATCCATTTTGTTCATTTTATATCCTCACCACCGTTCCCCCACTCCTCCTCTGGCACTGGGATAGGACAGAACAGAGTGTGTCAGCATTCACCATCTCAGCCATACGTGGAGAAGTCTGTTTTGTAATAATAAGGACAAAATAGAAACACATTCATAGAAAACAAACTGAATGTTGGAACCAGGTTATAAGTGGAAATAAAAAAAATGAATTTAGAAAAACTATGCTTAGTGTTCTCAAAGTAAAGGAAAAATAATCTGTATCTAGAGCACTAAAATTCAGGCAGAAATTACCCTTTCCTGTTTTTTAATTAATACTGAAGGAGGGGCGTGGAAACGAATATTACAATTGTGTGATTTCTTAGAAAGCTGACAAAACATGTTTGGCGTTGTAAGACTAGTACTGCTAAGAAGAACAAACAATAAAAAAGACAGGACAGAGGTTAAGGATTTCAAAGATCTTACTCGAACGTGCTGAAAACATCCCTCCTGGAATTAACTACACACAAGGCAGTGATTCTGAATGTAGAGCATGTCCTGATACTGCACAATCAATAGCATAATTCTAGGAGTTGTGAGAGTAATTAATTTGCTGTTCTCTTGTTTTGCTTTGCAACCCGGGGTAACAGCAGCCTCAGAACATTACTGGGTGGTTTTTTTCTTCTTTCTTCCTTGTATGTCCACAGCATTTATCTATTCATAGAAAATGCCTGCTTTATTTCATTATCAGCTTGAAAATAGATAGAAAACAAATCTAAAAATTATCATAAAACAAATCAGAAATCACATAGGAAGATGCTTTATTTCTGGACAAGTTAATGTAAGAAATAAACTCAGGAATAATGTTGAGCACAACAGCTTCCAAGCCTGCAGGCTCCTTCTTTTGTTCCCCTCTCAGGGTGCTAACAAGCAACAGAGAAGTAGCTCATTGGGGGAAACCAAAGAATGCCAAAAGCAAGTTGCATAAAAAGAAGGTGACATTAACATGCCTCAAAGCCATCCAAGTTTTAACTGGAATCTAAAAATATTCCAAAGTCTTAACTATGAACCAACTTCATTTTATATTTTTAAAACATGGATGCTATACAAACTTCAAATGAAAAGAAAATATTTAATCAACCTTAGTATTGTTCCAAAAACACAGAAGAAAATGCACTACATGCCACATCAGGCTTCCTGATCCTGGAGTTTCAGAAGTATATATCCAGTGATCTAGTTGGCATTACTACCTAGATATCAGATAAGCTCCTCAAAGTGAACACCTTGAGTACTTGTTTTCTGAAACCTCAAACCCACATCCCCGACCTCTCTGCTCCTTCAGTCTGTCTTGCTTCAGTTAGATGAGATCAGGAACCTCTGAGTGGTGTGACCACCGACAAGGGTATAGTCCAGGATGCTCTTAACCTCGTAATGGTCCTGTCTTGCCCCCTTCAGTATTTGTCTACCGGTATTCACAGCTTTTGTACTCACAAATTCTAATAAGACTCTGAACTGGTGGGTTTCTGTGAGTCTTTTTTTCTCATTGCCACCAAATCCTGAACCCAACCCAATCTGTCAGTAAGTCCTAGGATTTCTACTTCCAGCATATGTCCCAAGTCGTACATCTTTGTCTTTCATATTTCCACCTCGTTACTTTGATGCTCCTTATTGGTCTCAACTGGTCACCCTATTTTCTGTGCAGTCCCATTGACCATACATCAGGAAGAGCAGCCTTTTAAAAATATTAACTAATAATATCTGTCCTTTCTACAAAGCCTCTCTGACAGCTTCCTAATGTACTTAGAACATGACTGAAACTGTTCTTTTGATCTTGAAGACCTCCCATGTATCAGGCACACATCTACCCATGATCAGGGCCCAGCCCATCTTTTACTTTACTCTACCCACCATCCACAGCTGCCTCACTCACTTGGTTGTAAATGTACTGGGCTCTTCTCTGTGCCTCTAACTTGCCTGGACTAACTGTGTCTTGGGACCTTTCTGAGTGCTGCTCCCTGACTGAAATTTTCTTCCTTTAGGTTTCTGTTTGAGTGGCTCCTGTCACTCTGCCACATGTCCTCTGTCTAAGCAACTCCCTTCCTGGTTAGCCCATACACCCTGCATTTTCCAGTGTATGTTTGCCACATGTAGCTACTGAGCACGCGAGTGTCCTCACCATGATGCACACTAAGTATAAACTGTGAATATGCCAAGGCTAACCACAGGGAAGGAAAAGTAACTCACTGTTTCTGTGTTGATCTTATGTCAACACAATAATCTATCATTAATATATACATGTATACACACATACTCTGAGTTAAAAATATAAATCATTTTACCTTCTTCCCTCTACGTTTTCAAATGTAACCACTGTTTGAGTATCCCTTATCGAAAATACTTGGGATCAAAAGTTTTTAATTTTAGAACACATGCACAGACTTACTGGCTGAGAATCTGAAAGGTTCTAAAGTCTGAAGAGCAGTTCTAGGTTTGAGTTTCTGGATTAAGGATGCTCAACCTGTACAGCAACTTTATATGACCTACGTGGCTTGCATTTATAGTTCATGTTATCTAAATAATATCAGAATATTATTATTTAAAATTATTTATTAATTTATTTGTGTGAACATACCTATGAGCTAACAGGTATGGAGGTCAGAGGATAATTTTTGAGAGTCAGTTCTCTCCTTCCACCATGTGGGTTCTAAGGATCGTACTCAGGTCATCAGGTAAGTGGCTTAACCCTCTAAGTCACCTCGCTGGCCTCTCGTTATATTATGTTACTACTTTAGCTATGATTATCTGAAAGTATCTTTTTTGCCTTATCCATGAGTGGAAGGCGTGGGGACCTGGAATATTTTGCTCGTTGCTATATGCTTAGAGCACTGCCTAGTACGAAGAAGACACCTGTTAAACTGTTCAACAATGAGGGGACAAGTGAAGATGCTCTGCCTCTTCCTCTCATTTCTAACTGTATTATAAGCATCTGCATGGCCAGTGTCTTCTTGCTGCAGGGGAAGGAACAGGCAACCTTGAAACCCATCTCTTGGATCATTCTTTTCCTTAATCTCTTCCATTGGGGTTTTAAGTTTGTTGAAGGGAAGCTTTGTGGCTCTTGAATATAACTTCCTTTCTGACTTGCAAAAATATTAATGATGATAAAGTCCACACAATTTGACTGACTATGTGACAGACATGGTACAAATTATTCAAGATTTCCTTCATAACATCTAAGGTAGAAACTGCTATTTTCATTTTAAGTGGAAACTGAAGCTTTGCAAAAATAACCAGCAAGCTGACCCTCAGATCATCTACGTGGTTGGTGTGCACATGCAAATCCAGGTTACATCATAGGCCCCACCACCCTTGAGTCACCACACTCACAGTCCAGCATATGCTCACATGTTTTTTTTTTTTTGGTTTTTCGAGACAGGGTTTCTCTGTGTAGCTTTGCGCCTTTCCTGGAACTCACTTGGTAGTCCAGGCTGGCCTCGAACTCACAGAGATCCGCCTGGCTCTGCCTCCCGAGTGCTGGGATTAAAGGCGTGCGCCACCACCGCCCGGCGTGCTCACATCTTTTTAAGAACAATGAATACTGCTAAACATCATGCTCACCAAAGAAATTGACAGCAAAATAGTAAAAACTGAAAATCATGGTGGCACTCCATGACAGCACCTGACTTATGTCACATGGGGTCCTGACACCACAATGTCCTGTGCTTAATTGGGTCGTACCTCACTTCCAGATGCAAGACGAGCAGGCAGCGGTCAGCCATATCCTGGAAGGACTTGGCAAGTTCACTCAGTGTCTGCATGATCTGTTCAGACACTGGCGGCAGGTCCATGTTCACATGGCTCTCTTGAGCAGGAGACAACACTGGAAGAAGAGGAGAGAGAAAAAGCAATCATTTATTAGATACCTATAGGTTCCCCATAATGTATAATATTTATTCATCTTGCCTGTTTTTACTACTTTGGCAGCATTAGAAGTCTAAGATACATCAGACTCTGGTTTTACTTTAAAATTTATTTTACTTCTTATTGTTGTGTATGCATGCTGGGTGTGAGTATGGATGCATGTGCCTGTGTGTCACAGTGTGTGGTGGCCAGAGGCAAACTTTGGAGAGTTCATCCTCTCCTTTCATCAGGGGTTTGGGGATCAAACTGAGGTTTTCAGGCCTGCATAGTAAGCATTTCTACCTACTGAGGCAGCTTACCCGGCTTATTGTATTCTTTCTTAAACAGTCACTTGCCTCAATCAAGTTACTGAAATAGAAGCAGCTTTAGACTTGTGTGGCCTGAACATGTGGCCTGTCATTGTATTTCCTGTACATTTTCAAGTTGTTGTCCAGCTTCTGGCTGCACACTCACAGCAATGCTTGTGAGGACAATCTCAGCATCTCTGAGCCAGCTGATTCCACATCTGAAATACCTGAGCTGACAAAACCCCTGGATCTGTCTTCATTAGCTTCCAGAATTTCACTGGCACTAATCTACTTAGCTCTGTAGTCATTATCAGACATGTCAGAACTAAGGACTAAAGATACCTCTTTTGGCTTCAGTGAAGTCTTTCCTTTCTCAGGCTAAATTTCCCCCATTCTTTAATCATTCTTCAAATGACTGGACTAAATCATATCCTAATTCTCAAACTCTATTGACAAAGTATTCTGTCTGTTCTAGATCCCTCCTGAAAGTCTCAGAATAAATATTACAGACTAACATGTCTACCAGGAGGGATCACTTGGGTTATTCTAGAGGCTGGTACACTTGAACTAAAGCTTAACATCTGGGGGATGAGATGGAGGGAGGTGGTGGTGGGCTGTATGCCGCCTCTTTAGTTCACATGTAACTTTTTAGGATACCGGTATAGCTACTTTCTCTAACTTTCCAAAGGACTTCATATCTTACTACAGAGATACTTGTGCATCCATATTCATTGCTGCTGTATTTGCAAAATTCAGGAAATAGAATCAACCTGATATCTATCAATGGATAGATAGATTATGAAATTAACAGGTACATGAACAGAGTTGGAAATAATCACTCTGAGTGAGGAAACCCAGACCCTGAAAGGCAAATGCCACATTCCCACTCATATGCAAGTGTTAGCTTTGAATCTTTAGGTATGTATGCTTAAACTGGATAGCCCAAACAAGTTAGGAAACTACCAAGAGGCCATAAGGGGATTTAAAAGAAAGCGGGATAGAATGGGAGTGATATGAAGGTGGGAAGAGGAATGACGGAACAGGAAGGGATAGGGTAGAAAGTGAGGGTAAAGAAGTGAGTGTGGGGAAGGATAACAGTAAAGTCCTTTGAAAACAGCATATGGAAACCTACCAATACAGACGCTTACACGCACACACACGCACACACGCACACCACAAAGCTTAAATGGAGATAGACTATAACAAGGGGTCAATGCTTCCTTCAGACAATAAAGGCTATAAAATAAAAAGCCCAGTGCGAGGAATTGTTTATCTCTTTTTGATTTGTTGGTGAATAGAGTCTCATACATGTTCCCAAACATTATAAGCTATTGTCATTGCTCTTGGTTACTTGATGATAAGACCCTACTGCGGAAGACACTGTGTATCTGAGTTATAGGACAGGGAAAAAATCAAGCTGATAATGACCTGGGAGTTTCATTCCTACTGGCTAGAGTTCAAGTTGAAGGTTCTATGCATGCTATGAAATGAGAAAAGTCATCAACGGTCTCACCCAGTGAACCTTATATGCTATAATAATGATTGGTCTGGCAAGATATATGGAACAGTGTAATAGTGGTAGGAATATCAAGGGGGGTAACCAACTACTTTCTGCTTGGACTTAAAGCCCATCCCACAAAATGGACCTCATTCCTAGTACCATTAACTGAGCAAAAAAAAAATATCTTTGACTGGCCAAGTCATAAGTTTAAGAAGAGAGACCCTACTACTATTATTCTGCTAAATCATCATAGTAATATATGTCCCTAAGTTTTTATCTTTATTTCCAAAGACTGATTCCCTGCTCAACCCTCATCACAGAAGCTTCCTTTTGCAGTAGATGGCAATTAATACAAAGACCCACAACTGGTCAACATGCATAGTCTGTGGAGTGCTCAGTATTGCTTCTCTGTCTGAAAATCCTTCCCTCTGCCAGAGAACTTGGGTCTTCTGGAATCAGGATTCCTGGACTTGGGGCCTGCCACAGGATCTGCTGAGACACCACTAACTCTAGAAACAGGGAGTCAACAACTGCCCAAGCAGTGCCTAGATGGGACATCTCTCTCTCATCGTTTTCTATAAAGGTTTGAGGATCACTGAGGAAGAAGGCATGGAAGGATTGTAGGAGTCAGAGAGAGCAGATATCTGCAGTGGGACAGTGTGTGCTGTACTTAGCAGCACAGCTGCACACATGCACTCGCAGTGGCTAGGACTGTATGTACAGACTTGTCTAGGCTCAAGCCAGCCAAAGCTGTAGCCTGGATGGGGGAGGTGCTCATGAAGTTCCACCTCTAGCTGAAGAGCTGTTGGCATCTGATGGGTGTTGGGGGAGGGAAGCCAGTTTTCTCTGGGTATGTGGGCTCTAAGCAGCTACTAATCCTCCTGTAGATGGGCCTACACATAGCACATCAGGCAGTAGTAAGTGGACTGCGAGTATTAAAAATCTTAGAAAGAGGAGTGCACATGAAGTTGGGAGGGAAAGTGGTGGTAAGGGTAAGGGAAGAGTTGGAGGGCACATTTGATCCAGAAAACTATATGCATATATGAATAGTAAATAAAATATTGACAGAGATTCCCTAGGAAAATATTGACCAGCCGAAGTGGGAGTTTTTGTTTACTTAAGCTTCTCACAGTTTCTTGGAGATCGTCAACAATAATTTGGCCACACTAGACAAGTCTTCTTTTAGCTCTCTGGACTCTCAAGTGCTGTACTTTGTCCTGTCTCTAGCTCATAGCAAGAGCCAATCTCTTCACATCTCTGCCTTATTCTTTTGTGTAAACTGTGTTACATAATGGTAAATGGTTTGACAATAGGAAAAATACAATATGAGCACATGAAGCTTTCTCAGTATTCATGTGAGTCAGAAACATAAACAGTCTTTACTCTTCCTTAGTCTTCTATTTGTCCAAGTTAGATCTTAGTAATTACAGCCAGAAACACTCCCATCTATATCAGAGTTCAGTTCCCAGTCATCTGTACAGCTTTGCTTCTTTGGCAGAGAAGCCTTTTCCCTGCAGAAGGGATCTATGGGCTTGGAGCCCGCCACAGCACCAAGACATCGCTAACTCACTTTAACGCGTAGGAGTCACTACCTGCCCAAGTAGTGTCTATTATGAATATGTCTTTTCCTGTACTATCAAGCCAAGTGAAGGTCAGACATGTGATCCAAGCATGTGACTTTTAAGGCTAAAGTTTCTTTTGGATCTGTACCCTAAGAAATTAAAACAACATCCCATGAGTATAAACAAGTGAATGTTATTCAAGGGAACTGACCTGTAAGGATGAGAATACAGTCATGGAGATTTAAAATTCTAATAATCCCTGAATAGCTGTTCACAAACTTGATCTGCTCGAGAGTGGACGTAAAACACTGCATTTCCTCTCAAATGTTAATGTTATTCGTGTTGTTTTCTGGCAAGGCAACATCACTGCCATCATACCGTTTCATGCGTCAGGCTAGATGAAAGCAACTTTCAGTAACATTATTATAATATTCCAAAGCACTTTAGGGCTTTTAAGGCTCTGAATTCATTTTGTATGTGACATAAACTCTGGTCCACAGAATTGTCTGTACACATCCATGAGAAAAGGTAGAGATTACTTTGATATTGTACTCATGGTCTCAAGCTCCCAAACACTATAACAGATCAAATACTATCAAAAATATTTTGGGTAAAATCCATTAAAAAGCTAGAAATTTCCCTTTTTATTATACAAACAAATAACTTCACCATGTGAAAACTGACCACTCCCAAACTATCAAAAACAAAAATAAATACAACAAAACCAAAACCCAAAATAGAATATAAGCAATGGAAGGTTTATCTGCCAAGTAAAGCTTGCCATGGCTATGGTAGGAGCAGTGTGGAATAATGGAAAGCTGTACATTGTGTCTGACTGTAGGTACAGCAAAGCTATGGCATGATATTAAAGTAACATGATAACTTATGTCTAGAGCTTCCCTGAAAGGCTGGCTTGTAAATTCCTGAGAGCTTCCTCAAGTTTATGAAGCTTTCCTAAATAAGAAGGAATATATCGAGTGAAGGAATGCTGAGCATGGCAAAGACAGTACAGAACAATTAACGGGCTCTTAAATGTCAAGTGACAGTGTTGATAGATTCTCTTTATAGTTAAGAAATGAGATTATTGGACACACCCACCCCCACACTGGTAAAAAACACACACACACACACACACACCCCATACAAAATACCACACCACAGACTCTCACACAACACCCCCCCACACTCATACACAACATATTTACCCCCCAATCACCTCGCACCACCTAAACACACATACACACACACACCACACACACCTCTGCACACACCCTTCTAGAGACTAAGTGATTCTATATCTGTCTTAGAGGCTGTTCTTCACTCTGCCACAGCCCCATGGGTACTGAACTTTTAAAATGTTAGTAATTGATCACCTCTGTAAGACATGCACTCTGAGCAGCTGTTCTAGCCCTGGGGAAGGTTGATATCTGACATCCATCATGTGACCACTAAATATAAGCATATATCTTTTAAGATTTCTAGCTCACCCTCATGCTGATGTTGGTGGGGCTTTCTCCATTAAATCCATTGGTCTACCAGGAGGACAATGAGTCTTGTGCTCTCAAACAGAAATAGCTTTTTTGTTGAGACAATGGACAGGACAGTTTCA